TAAAATTTGATGCAGAAAATTTTCGTAGAACAACATAACGCCAAACTGCAATTTTTAATGAATATCCAAGGATGTGCTTACAAACAAGGCAGACCAATAAAGAAATCTGGTAAAATAAATCCCTGTGAATCCCCTTTTCTGACGAGAACATCTGCCACTTCATTTCCCATGACTCCACTATGTCCCGGTACACAGATGAGGTACATATGGTTCCTGGATACGTTAAGTATCAAAAGCTGAAGACAATCCTACACCAACTCTGAGGTGACTTCGCGCGTTTTAAGAGCGATGTTTGTTGGTTGCGCCACTCCAAACATACTGCCTCAAACATAATGCAATGGCAGGCACCTCGTCCTGAAAGATATATGTAGTTACCTTGCTCCACGCACATAAAAAGGAGTCTTCTGGGTTGTTTACTCAGAGGCTTAGGTCGGGGTTTAGGTCGTTCCTATTCTCCGTTGTTTCGGTTGTGGTAAGGGACCTTGCAATTTTGTGTGTAGTTAAATCTCGGAAGGTACAGTTCCACAAAGCTACTCTGAGCCTCGAATGTGTATGAGCTTCCTGTCTTCCACATTAAGTGTATTTACAATCTCTGAAAAAAATAATTTATTCCCAAATCTATTTCTATAACTGACCTGACCAAGACTAGCAGGGTAAATTTCTACGCTGAAAATTTAATTTGTCTAAATTTATGCTGTCAGCGGCACACATGTAAGCAATTTTCTTGGCCACTACATACTTAATGGGACGAATGAAGCAAACAATAGCAGCGCATACTCGTACAACTGCAATTGCCAAATAGCAAATGGTCAAGGACTACATACACACAGTATGCTTGAGTTTATAAACCCAGTAAATTTGCAGTAAAATGCAGCAATGCGCTATTTTATACAAACATACATACTCGTATTTTCATAAATTCTTAAAATTGCTGGTAGTGAAGGTATTTATTCAAATAACTATATTATACAATATTCAAGGCGTCACATTAAGTGGGTTAATAGAAGCAGGTTTCAAGTTTTTTTTTTTAATCAAAACTAAATAAAATTAAAAAATATGCTCGGAAAATCTTTTGTGGCATCCGCTATAGCTGAGGGGTTAGAGTTGCGTTCTTCCACTCGGTAAAACCAAATTTCGATTTCTAGCTCGAGCAACACCAAACAAAAAGTTTTTTCTAATAGTGATCGCCCCCCTCAGCGAATGCAAACCTCCGCGTGTTGGTATGTTGCCGTGCTTTCTCGAAGCCGGATAGCATACAATTTATGTATTTTTGGGCCCTTTTGACGCAGTTCTCGTGGCGAGTGTTTTGTCTACATACGCATGTATATCCTATGTGGCCATGTTGCTGGACATTTTCTTTGATATCTTCTAGCTAACAACTACGACAATTCTGCCCTGGGAGCCAGTGCCCCATAGTAGTTGCTACCTACAATTCTGGAAACTTCAGTCTTTATTTATATGGCCACCTATTTCTAGCCAGTCCAAAGAAATGCAGAGTAATTTCTCTTTGGATTATTCCAAGAAGGCAACCAAGTGCCACCTCTTCGGATTCCTCCAAATAGGCTACTGGCTTCGCAGACAAGAGAGACGGCGATTGACTGAGAAGCTAAGCACAATTCCATTTTACATTTATTAACCAGCGGCACGTGGCTGTCAAAATATATTATTACCTTATTTTTGTACCAAACTCTATTACGAAGATACTTGTATTCTTTCCTAATCGCAGATAGAGAAAAAGAAAGAGCTTCTCAGAGTAGGACCCCGCTCCTCCACCGCAAATGATCTTAGCTCCTTCGGTGTGCACAAAGATAGTTTCTCTATCGGTCACCCGGTCCCTACTCCATTCCCTTCTGAATGGGAATGAACTTGCATGCTACAGCTGAAATCTAGATTGCCCACAATACGGTCCTTCCGAATTGGATTTCGTTACTAATCGATCCATGTGTGACGCACAGTGTTTCGACTATTTGGTGGCAGGTGGAAATTTAGACAACGTGCCACGATTTCACTGAAACTTGACATGTGCTCTAATTTTTCTTAGAGAATTATGAAATTAGTTTAACCTGGGATACATAGTTGCCACGCCACGTCACAAGAGTGGATCGCAAACATTAAATTTCATCCGATTTCGATGAAATTTAGTCTGTACTCTGTTTTTTAAAACGATTTGAGATGTCAAAGATATGAATAATTTAATGTATGTCCGAATACCAAAATAGTTACCAAATGAAAGAAATAAATATAAAAAAAAAAATAATTGTTTTTGGTAGTTACAAAATGAAAGAAAAAATTTTAAAATTAAAAAAAAAAAAATTTTTTTTTTGGTTCGCAAGGGTGAATGGGATGAAAAATGGTCTTTTAATTATTTTTGTTTTCTTTTTTTGTTGACTTAATAAAGTTAAAAGGACGAGATTCATGGTGTTGTCTTGTGAAAATGAGTTTTGAACATATAATTAAAAAAAATATATTGCAATTTTTCAAGGATAAAATTCTAAATCGACATTTTTAATACCTTTTCCTCCTCATGCACAAAAGTTTGAGTCTTTTTCAATTTTCCAAAATTTTCTCTTTTATTTGATACCCATAGTAGTTGTATTTTTTTGTAAGCGAGCGATAAGCTCGGGTAAAATTTCCTTTGAGGTACTTAAGCAACCCTGTTGGTAGCTGGCAAGAAACGTGTGATTAGTTTAACGCTATTTAGATACAAAAACTTATTTAAATGAGTAATTATGCAAGATATTTGCTTAATATATATACTTATTTAAAATATAAATCATGTATATACGAAAACAAAAATTTCCCTCTCCAATTTCCCAGTAACAATTCACAATAGAGCAGTTTTGTCACTTAACAACATACGCGTATTTTTTAACCGACCTGGCTGAACTCGGAGTTTGTGTTGTTGTTTTGCATGTATTTCGTCATTTAAGCGAGTGTTCTTTTGTAGCTCGGTTGCAAAAGAATGCACCTATTGTTATTTTACATTGTAATGAATATTTTTTAAATAATAATTTTTTATTAATTAATTATATGTTAAAGCTTCTGTGTTAATTTTCTTGAGTGTAAAATTTGCTATCGCACGGTGTATATCATCAAAAAATTTTCATTACCCTTGCCTGTGCCAATCTTTCTGAATACTTTAACTGTGAGATGAGACGAATCATTGTATAACTTTCCGATTCAGCTGCTGAGGATATTGGTCAGGGCGAATAAATAGAAACAAATTTATTTCTAAGGCTTTAATTCTATAAGCATAAATGGGCATAGGCTTTGAAGAAAGACAGTTCAATTCGAAAGAGCCACAATAAATGTTTACATACCTGCAGTAAGTAGATACATATATGTACTTATGTATAGATATATACCCAAATTCACAATAAACTATCACTTTATAAATCTGCTTCATATATGTATGCACACATGTATTCTTTAATAAAAATAATAGTCTAGAATATTCACTTAAACCCACACAAAAAAAATAGTAAACAATTTCTGGTAACGAAAAAATATGAAATCTCATTAGCAGCTAAATTCAGTGGACTCAGCAGCAAAACGGAAATGCTGCGCACGAAACAACGAATGAGCAGAAAAACGCCAATGAAAAACGCGCAAAAAAAAGAGCAGCAAAATGATGAGCACCGCACAAAACACAAACAACAATAATAATAAAGAAAACAAGATAAAAATATAAACAACAACAACGCCACACTACGACGCCAGTGAGCCGAAATCAAAAGCGAAGAATGAAAAACAAAGCGAAGAAGTAAAAAACAAGAAAAACAAAAACTACGTACGACGAAAAATTGGAAACAGGATGCTGCCAACGAACAGCAAAAGCAGGCCTGCTGCCTAGCCGACGAAAACGAAAAAGGCACAGAGGAGCAATGCTGGTGGTTGAGGCGGAGGAGGAGGAGGAGCAGGAGGGAAAACAGCATAGCTAGAAGAATTGCAAAGTAGCCGAACCCTAAACTGGCAAGCGATGCTAGCGACCTACCAGCAGTGTGTGTGTGTATGTGTGAGCAATGAGCGGCCACCAGTACGTATACGCAACTACATAGGAGGGCCCAACAATGCGCGAGCATAGAGGCTGATACACACACACACATGCGCGCATACAAATTACAATTATTGAATGCATACATACATACAGCTGTGTTGAGTTTAATTACATATCTCTATTCTACTGAGGTGGCTGCATTCCAACGCCGCTGCTGCACCACAGCGCGCGGCAGGGAGTTGAGTAGCGGCGAGTAGAGAGTTGTATGCTGCGCGCGCCGTCATTTTTTCTTAAAGTACGGCACTTTGCTGCGGGCGGCAACGCTGCTGGTGTGACTGCAGCTTTGTCCATTTGCCGCTTGCACTGCTGAACGGCGAAGCAACCTTAACCACTGGAGTTATGGTGGCGAAGGCTAAGGTTGTTGGCGTTGCATGGAGTAATTTTTGATGCTGCTGCTGAATTGTTTGCTGCGGCTGTTGAAAATTTTACTTTGTTGCTGTTGTTGCTGTTGCTGCCGCTGCTGCCACGCCACAAACTTTTCTCTATCCATTTAGAGTGGCGCACATATGCATACTTACGTACATACATATGTATAAATGTAGGCAGATGTGCACATATAACCAGTTAGTTATACTTTTCTCGTCACTGCTGTTTCGTATCGCTCGAACAATGAAGAAAACGAAGTAGCAGCAGCGCAAAAAAAAATTGACCAGCATTTGTAGTGAAAAAATATATTTTTCCTGCTGCTTCTTCGAAAAAATACTATGTGACCAGCCGAGCTAGCTGCACGGCAGTACAAACACACAAGCACATTTAGAAAATTCTGAAAATTTTGCACAAATTCATATTTTTTCTTGTGTAAAATATTTTTCTTTTTGGCGACACTTTGGCAGCTGAAATTTTTCTCATATACATAGGCACACATACTTATATAAAATTTATACACAAATTTTTGATTTCATTTGAAAAAATTTCAAATTTGCATTTTCCATGCAACACTTACTTTTTTTGTTGCACTTCTCATTCACATTTTGCAATTAAAAAATTTTTCTTGCATAGAAATTTCAGCAATAATTTTTAGCATCTTTTTATTTTCCAACCAACTCAAAAATAAAAGCAAAAATTTCTCTACTTTCTGCTGAATTTTTTTTTCTCTAGCTTTCCTAGCAAACGCGTTGATTTTGCGAACGATTTCGATTTTTAACTGCGCATTGGACGCGTTCCACAGTGAGACTGACTGCGAGCAAGGAAGCTGTATTGTACTATTGTGCTGCACAGAGCTTAGTTCGTTGGGAGGACACACACACACACACATACAGAGTTGCTCTTAGTACATGCGTGTGTTTGAATGTGCCTTCGTTTGTATGTATTCGTCCAGCGGTTGCTTGCCTTTCGTACGAATTAGGATGTGCGCGCTGAGAATGGCATTATATTTGGTAGCACGGTTGACGTTGGCCGAAAAAAAATAAAAATAAAAAATATGGAAAATAGCAGTAACGGTGTGCCGTTGCAAGCAGCATCGCGTTGAGGTAGTGGCATCAGCTACTCTAGCATTTCCCAGCGGCTTTGTGCTCAGCGCCGCAGACAAGGTCCTGCTCTGCCGGTAATGGCATGCGCTGCTGTTCGCGCTACCTCTGTCGCTTTGCGGTTAATAGCTGCGTCAATGCATTGCTTCATCGGCATTTCTATTACCTTCTTCGATTGCTTCATTTTGTTGGTTATTTGGTGGTGCTGCAATTTGTTATTTTTCGACAAGTTCTTTGCTGCATATTGGTAGCCCAATGTTGTGGTAACTGCATACTGCATAGTTATGTGGTAGCGCTAATAAGTTTTCGGCAGTGATTGAACCGCAAAGTTCAGTTCGCATGATTGAAATGGTAAGCTGAAGAAAATTCTTAATAGGAAGTGTATGTAGTTGCTCGAAAAGTTCTATTATTTTGCACATTTCAGATCAAAAAAGCAATTTCGTAGCAGTTGAAGTGTAAAATGAATTTTTTTCCCATTCATGTGGTTTAGAAGTTTTATGAGCAAATTCAAGGTGCTGATTTTTCGGAATAGCTATTTTTATGAACTGCTTATAACTGCATATCTTCGAGTGTCCTTCAACTACATATGCCTATGCGGTATATAGATTCAGCAAGTGTTCTCCACGGAGAGCTTTTTCCATAAACAAATTTTAAAGAGTTTTGGCTATCATTTCTTTTTATTTAATATTTATTATTTTCTAACAAAAACAACGTAAGTCAAAATTTGAAAAATTTTAAAAAATTTATAAAAGTTTTACAAACAAATGTTCATCGTAATTTCAAAATTTTTATTCCGAATCACTTAAAAAATGGCCAGTTATTTTTAGTATAATAAAGTGCAAGTTTTAAATAGCTGAGATTTACCCTTAAATTTTGGCAATTTGTTTTTAAACGGTGTTGTGCGTTTTCCTCTATATAAAATAAATTGTCGAACCTACGTTTTATGACAAAAAATTCGTGACTCTTAAGAAAAAAAAATTTTGAATAATTAACGGTTAATACTAGCTACTTCAAACTCCCACTTTATTATACTAAAATTTACTGAAATTTAATAGGCTACAAAATCGCATACCAAGATTTTTTCTAAAAAAAAAAGTTTCATATTTTGATGAAATTTTGTTGGATTTTCCTAAGTTTTGTGCGAAGTTTGAAATTCAGACTTACATGATTTTTGTTACATAGTGAGCTATAATTTTATAAAAAAAACTAATAAACATTAATTAAATAAATGCAAAAAAGCCAAAACTTGTTAACACGTCGCGATCGTCCCTATTTATTTTCCCACCACTGTATGTTGAGTGAATAATACATCTGCAACTGTAATAAAATCCTTATTTCTTAAGAGCCTCTAAAGTTGATAGGCCTGCAGGAATATATTGGTTTCCTAGTGCTTTAAACAGACATGAATCAGAACGAACTAGGCATAAGTTATTTACCTAGGCTTGCTGCGATTGCCCCAGGAGAGGGCTAAAACGGGACTGAACCACAACGTTTCGTACAGTACAAGATTGCGGCCTGAACGCCAACCCGCCGAAAACGGTCATGGTTGTCTTTACGGGGCGTAACACGGTCGTTCTCGAATGCAGTGAAATACTTGGGCGTCATCTTGGACAGGAAACTGACCTGGCAACTGGCAAAATGGCTATAGGCAAGAAATGGGGTCTCAAGCCTCACATAGTGCACTGGATTTATACAGCAGTGGCACACCCTATATTATTATGCGACGTCACAGTCTGGTTGATATCACTGGATAAGTCGCTGATTAATTCTATACTTATCAAGGTACAAAAGGCGGAACGCATGTCAGTTACAGGTGCGCTGCCATCCATACCAGCCAAAGCCAAATGGAAACAATCTTAAACTTTCTGCCCGTAGACCTTTTTGGGAAGCTACAGGTGAGCTACAATTCAGTAAGACTAAATACACTGTAAAAATGATTCGAGGTCCCACCAACATTCTAATCAACTACAGGGTTAGGTACGTTAGGCCTCCAAGATAACTCCATAGCCATCTACACGGATGGCTTAAATTAAATCTAACAACAGGGAGTGGGATACACTCGAAGAACCTCTCATTTGACCTCTGCTTTAGGCTGCCAGACCACTGCAGTGTCTTCCAAGCAGAACTCACGGCCATAAAAGTGGCTGCACTCTGGTTCATCGAATCTTCTCTTAACCTGCCTTCGGTAACTATATACTCCGATAGTCGAGCAGCTAGTAAGTCACTATATTGCTGTGAAACCTCGTCAATGAAATGCAGGGGAATTCTTTAACCATTTACGTTCAAAGTCTACTACTCACATTGTCTAAGTGCCAGGCCACAGAAACATTCGAGATAACTAAGCAGCGGATGAGCTTGCGAGGAAGGGAACCACCCTGTCACGCTATGTGCTTCTCTCCTACGTTGAGTGAAGGCAGAAGCTTCAACCTAACCTAACTTACTGAAAGTGGAAGAAATAACAGAGCATCTCCTTTTCGTTTGCCCTACCCTCTGCAGAGCCAGAATGAGGACTCTCGGAAAACCATCCTTATCTCGTCTAATAATACACCCACTGGATTTAGGTAGCGGGGTAATGTGAGGTGCTTAAAACAAGCGTCACATAAACCAGACAACTAATCTATCGCTCAGAAGGAAGACGAATACCGGTATCTTGAAGGATAACCAAATAGTTCAACTAACTGGTCGTACCAAAACAGATACACACTAAAGCTTGCTTATCTAATCTTCTAACACTAAAGAAACTAATACGAAGATATATAATTATACAAAACTCGAAGCAGATAAAATGAAAAATTAAACATTACATGGAAGAACACCGAAAAAACAGGGCAAAAGGTTTTTAGTAAATAAGTGAATTGCAAGGTTTAGACTATGGAGGAATTGACATCTATTGATCTTTGTTAAGAAGGTCCGACAACTACACAGAATATGCTTCTACCTGTACACAAGCTAAAAATCTCTCTCTGTGACAAATCAATTCGATATCTATGTATGAGTATACGTACGGTTATGAAAAATTAGATAACCAGAGAGTAAGTCAGCTCTACTTAAATTATTTTCTTCCTTTCTAGCGAATCAAATAACCAAACACTGACCATTATAAAGCCCTAGCTAGTCTAAAGGGTTTACCCAATTAGAAATTTAATGTCTCAAAGGGGACTAATTGAAATGCTGAAATGATTGCGGTCCCACAAAAATGGTTGAAGATTCTTCTCTTGCAGCTTACCAGTTACTCCATTACCATCGATCCATCAGCGATTTGGACAATTGCTGACTGAAGAGCGTACTATAAATACGCTCTTAAACTACTTACATATTCTTAAGGTTTAACTCAGTCAGGGGTTTGTGCCACGTGAAGTGACCAGTCAGCAGTCCCACAAGTTGTCTGCAGTCCCGTCTGCAAGTTATTGAGAGCAAACAACTAGATAGACCTTTTGAGATTGAACGGAACATGTGTTTTGCACACATTCGGCCCCTCGATGCCTCCCAGTCATTGCTTAGCGAAGTATTCACCGAGTTTCTGATGGTGATATCGATGGCCGAAGTGGGGAGTGCTATAACTGGTTGCGGATCGAGTAATGCCTGGCCTGAGCCAACTCTTGGAAAATGGTCAGATATCTTATTACCAGATACCCTCGAGTGACCCGGCACCCAGAGTAAAGCAAGCACGTTATGTTTGCCAACATAATTTAGTCAAAATTTGCATTGCCGAATTAGTTTGGAAGTAGCCAGAGGGCTGGCAAACTCCTTAAGTGCAGCTTGGCTGTCACTGCAGAGACGCAAACTCCTACCCTCCACCTATTTTCCGCAACGTAGTTCATGGCCTTGAGGATTGCAAATACCTCACCCTGGAAGACCGAAAACTAGGAGACACCGAATTGCGTATCCGGTAGAGCAAGGCCTAAGGTTTTATTTCACGTCAATAGAAGTTTTATGCTGCTAGTACAACAATTAGGAGATCTATTGTGTCACTTTTTACCCGCTTCACTTTCGCCGAACCGGTGCAAATCTACTAAATTTATTACTTATATATTTTTCTTTCCTACGGGTGTTTAATTTACAAACTTAAAAAAGATATGAAAGGTCCTGTATTGAATTATGTACATATTTTTCCCCCTAAGTCAAATATATATTCGTTTTCTTCCCCTTTTATAAATGCATATACGAATTTGTTCTCTTACATATTCATATTTCAATGGTCGTACTCCCATTTCATATTATATAATGTAAACAAACATAAGCAAACATCAAAATTGGCGCTCACTTCAAAACATACCAAAATCCTTGTCACTCATTAACGGCCACCCTCAGTTTTATGTTTTACAAATTGTGTATAATTCACCACCAGCCGCCAGCCACGAGCGGCTACCAACCTCATTTGCAAAATTTGTTATCCTGCGGATATGACATGGCTACTGACGCTGTTGCTGGCTTTGGTATAAACACAATTGTTGAAGTGAATGTGTGTCTGGGAGTATATGTGAGAGCCCCAAAAGGAAAACTTATACTTTCAGCAATAAGGGCAAAAATTTATTACAACAGAAAAAGAACAAATTAGACTGATTTAGTTTTGAAGGTAATTATATAATGAAACGGAAATAGACTCCTTATTTTACGAATTGGGCTATAAAATTCACTAAATATATGTACATCTACATATATAAATCTCTATTAATGCGAAGTTACAGCGTTTT